CAGACTGTATCTGATGCACCTTGTTGTGGCACGTGGCATGGTACGTATCAGAGGGCAGAGCATGCGTGTTGCTATTTGGATCTCTCTTCCTTGTGTTTCAGGCATCTGGCGTTGAAGGCTCAGATATTCCTGATGATGGCAAACTTATAGGATTTGCACAGCTCAGCATCAGCTAAACAATGGTCCCAGGAGATGTTTCCCAACTGAGAACCCACATGTGCATATTCGTAATGCTTCTGTTAGCCTAAAAAAAAAAAAAAAAAAACCACTACTGCCAAAGAATTGAACTACAGCCCCCTTCCTAGAAGCTTTAACATTTTCCTTAATAGGATCACAAACCTTCCTGAAATTACCGATGGCGTTTACACCTTTTGTAAACAACTCTCATGGTTTTGTATCTGTCATCTCAAACATGCAGATCCAACACGTCATTGCCTGCATGTTCATTTTATTATTGCCTTACTTTAAAGAAAAATACTACTGAGTACGAAGCAGGGGGTTCCACTGCTCTGATGATCTTGCCTAAATGTTTGCTTACATGTGGTTTCATTTTTTTTTTTTCACTTGCTATTTTTGCACAAGTTTTAATACTGAACGGATCTTTTTTGTTCTTTACCCGCTTCTCCTTCCATCTGAAACACCAGTGTACATGTTGTTTGGGTCACCTGGAGTGCTGAGAAATCTGCTTCTCTTCGGCTGTGTTTTTTTTAAAACTGCTGGTTTGAACGCTTGCACTTGAGAAAGCAAGCCAAGTCTTAACCCACGGGAAGGAGAGCCTTCTTCCCTTGTGTTTGTGTTTTTGAGAAGTTCCTTGACTTTGAGGTGTTAGAAGTCAGCTTCCCTTTGTAAACTGCCTTAATTATTATTATTTTTTTTTTTTTTACTATTTTGTTTTTACTATTTTGGTTCTCTCCACATGAGTGCCAGGCATGGCATGAGGGCTGAACCTTTTCATTTACATTAAGCAGTCCTTCCTCAAAACATCTTTCATTCTGCATCTTAGATGTAATCTGTTCTTGAAGCAGACCAATGAGGCATTGCTGTCTGGGAACTGGTCTTTCAGATGCTCAACAAAATACTCGTGGTCAGAGGGAGAGGAGATCTGTGTCACTCTGCGTTCGGAAAAGATGCACTTCAACCTGTTCCTGAGACCCAGTCTGTTATGCCTGGCTGCGCGAGTCCTCCCGACGTGTTTCCCAGTCCTTTGCAAACTGGTACCCGTGGAACCATCCCTGTCGTGTTTTACAGCAATAACGAATCGCCAGTAGAGTGGTAGTACTGGGCAAGCGAGCGCCGGGCTGTGTCCCTCCTGCACTAATCGCTTGGGTCGTCAGCTTTCTCATCGGTCCAAGCCTCGACGTTTGATCAGGATGTCACTGAATCCCTGTCACACACGTATTTAGCTTTTATTTCTATGTGGTGTTGAGTTTGAGTTTCTACATGAATAATATAAATTATACGCTGAGTTTGATAAGAGACACTTGTAATGCAATATGTGAATAATAAATGGTGTTGATTTTTTTTTTCTTCCTCCTGTTTCACAGTTGGCCTTTGTAACTGCTCTTGGCTCTGGAGTGTTTTCTACACAGAAATTGTAAGCCTGTAATTTAACACACAGATGGAAACGTGTTTGGTTTCCATCAGCCACAAACAATGCAGAAACAGAGTGTTAAAGCAGAATGACTGAGTTCAATTAGGACTTTTGTTTTTTTTATTTCCAAGTCTTCAGATGAACAATCTCTATTTATATATTGTTCTCTCTGAGCAGCTGTGGAAGCTTCCTGAATTGTGCATGTTCTTTTTATACCGCCCTTGTTGCTTTTAGCCTCTAGGTGGATATTGGGCATGTCCCCATGGGCTATTTGCAACCCCATGGCTGGTGAGTGTGGAAGGGAGGGAGAGGAGAAGAGTGTTTGAGAGCGAGAGCGTCCCAGGGTGTTCCCAGGAGCCCAGGAAGCGGGTGCCCAATACTGGGGAGTTGGTGGTGGCTGGGTTTGGCCAAGTGTGTGCGTGCACGTGTGCGTGGCACCTCGGTGCTTTGAGACAAAGTGCTCCCTACGGCTTCCCCCATCGAGCTGGTCGGCTTGGGAAGAACAGGCTGGCACCTTGATTTTCCTGTCACCCTGTGGTTGATACGCTTGAGTTGGAAACCCGTAGGATATGGAGATGAGGTCGTCTTGGTACAGTATTATTTTCCCTTCCGCCTGCATGCCGTGGGGACCTCCTCGTTCATTTGTGTACTGGTGCTGAGAAAGGTAGGACTCGAACTGCTCAAATGGAACAATGCAGCATCTATTTATTAAGTTATTCCCCACCTTCCCAAAGCCAAGACTTAGAGAGCTTGAGCTCACACTAACCCAAGGCTCCTTAGCTCTTTCATGGAAAAAGCAAGTAAGGAAGAAGCTGATTTTTTTTGCTCAATAGATCTCCAGATGTTTTGGGTAGGGCTCCAAAATATTTACTTGGGCTATTACAGTGCTAGACAACCGTCTCTTCTGATGTTGTTCCAGTAAGTGCCAATGCTGTTCATAATTGTTTTCCGGTGTCATTAAGAATTTGGGTTTTGTGCAAATTTCTGATCTGAACCTGGAAACAGGTGGTAATTTTAAGTTAGTTCCTACTTTTAAGGACAATGCTCTGTTAATGAAAACGGATCCTCTTCACAACTTTGGTGTATTGTAGATTATAATGAAAGATGTAAAATATTCAGGCTTTTTTTCCTTTTTTGGACTTTGTATTTTACTGCATGTCTCTAATTTTTAATCAATAAAGAACAAATTGTCCATTGCCTTGTGTTTGGTGTGTGGTTTACTTGGCATTGGGTCAGATTGTGCCTCTTGGGGAAGCAGTTTGTCTGAGTGGTGTCTGCAAGCCCGGGGGTGTTTCTCTTTGGGGCGGTGGGAGGTTCGGCAACCCCCAGGAAGACTCGGTGAGGAAGAAGGTGGGATTGCTCTGCAGGAGTTGTGTGCAGGAATGGAGTCAGGATGGCCCTTAGGATTGTACCCTGAGGGCTTGTCTCCAGTTGAAGGGTTTGCTCCAAGCTCTGCATGAGGAAGACCTCAGGGTGACAGAGGCTGGTATTAAAGTGGGATGATTGATACCTTGAGAAGCGTTTGGAGCATTTCCACCTCCACAATACTTGTTCTTTCTGAATTTGAAGCTTCAGGGCAGATCTGATCCAGAGGTGCCTCTGTGGTCTCCCTTACACTTGTAGTGGAGCCAGGACTTAAGAAAATGCACTGATGGTGAGAGGTGGAGTTAGCGCATGTCCCTGTCTCTTGTAATCCTGACAGCTTGTGCTGGTTTGGGCTGGGGTAGGGTTAGTTTCCTTCACAGTAGCCAGTATGAGGCAGTGTGTTGGGTTTGTGACCAAATCAGGGATGTTTTTGTTATTGCTGAGCTGGGCTGACACAGAGCCAAGGCCTTTTCTGCCTCTCACCCCACCCCACCAGCGAGGAGGCTGGGGAGGGCACAAGGAGCTGGGAGGGGACATAACCCTGGGTATATCCCACACTGTATGACTTCATGCTCAGCACATACAGCTGGGGGGCAAAGAAGGAAGGGGGGGACATTGGGAGTGATGGCGTTTGTCTTCCCAAGTCACTGTTACGTGTGATGGAGCCCTGCTGTCCTGGGGATGGCTGAGCCCCTGCCTGCCGGTGGGAAGCAGGGAATGAATTGCGTGCTTTGCTTTGCTTGCGTGCATGGCTTTTGCTTTACCTATTGAACTGTCTTTATCTCAACCCGTGAGTTTTCTCACTTTTACCTTTCCAGTTCTCTCCCCCATCCCACTGCGGGGGAGTGAGCCACCAGCTGGGTGGGGCTGAGCTGCCTGGTGGGGTTAAACCAGGACCCAGCTCCTGACCCTAGCCGGGCCATTCCCCTCTGTCACCATCCGTGCCCCCCCCCATGGCACACCCTTGTGCCCATGGCCGTGCTTCGGGCTGCGAGAGCAAGGAGGTGCCTGAAGTGAAAGGTCTTGCCCACGTGTGCAGGTGACCAGGCTGTTGGCAGGCTGTCAGTAAACCTCTTGCCGCAAGACTGAAAAACCACTGCTGTGGCCGGGCACTGAGCCACTGCCACGGTTGTGGCTGTAGGTGTGTCACGGCGAATGCTCCAATTCAATGTCTGTTGAACTGAGCAAGCATCTGGACAGCTTTCCCTGGTCGTGGTCGTCTTTTAACAGTGCCCTTGGCCACAACCTTGTATGCTATTTAGCATCATGCAAGGGAGAAGTGCCTGGGTGCAAGCAGACTGCCTGACTCCTTGGAAAGCCAACTCTGAAGCACTGCACTGGAGAAAGGCTGGGGTTTTCCTGTAGTGTTTCTTGCCCATCTTCCACAAAGGAAGGACATTTTCAGAAATGAAGGGAAACGTTACCTGAGAATTAGCTGACTGAATATGAGCCAGCAGGGTGTCCAGGTGGCCAAGAGGGCCAGCGGCATCCTGGCTTGTATCAGGACTGGTGTGGCCAGCAGGAGCAGGGCAGTGATGGTGCCCCTGTCCTGGGCACTGGGGAGGCCGCCCCTTGAATGCTGGGGTCAGGGTTGGGCCCCTCCCTCCCAGAAGGACCTGGGGGCAATCTTAGCAAGGCCGGCTATGACAGGACAAGGGGTGATGGTTGTAAAACTAAAACAGGGTAGGTTTAGACTGGATATAAGGGAGGAATTTTTTACGATGAGGGTGGTGAAACACTGGAACAGGTTGCCAAGAGAGGTGGTGGAGGCCCCATCCCTGGAAACATTCAAGGCCAGGTTGGATGGGGCTGTGAGCAACCTGATCTGGTTGAAGATGTCCCTACTCACTGCAGGGGGGTTGGGCTAGATGACCTCCAAAGGTCATTCCAACCCAAACCATTCTATGCTTCTAATCTCTCGTCCCAGCTGATGAGTTTCCAAATGGAAAGCAACCTCCCCTGGCCGGTGTGCACCTCCTGAAATTTCTGTTTCACTTAATGGGAACGCGGTGTGAGTACAAATCCTAACCCAGAGCATGGCTTTTTCTTCAAATTCTCATACTTTGCATACCATACAGCTGCAGGGCTTATCTTGGGCTTAAGTACTGGTTCCAGCCCCAGGGAAGCCTGTCTCTGTACATACCGCTGCCAACATCAGGTGTCGGGGAAATTTTGAAAGCAGTTGGTGATTTTGGGCCATTTCAGAAAGGGCTGGTGCTGCTCACTGTGCTTCCATGCCTCAGCATGGCTTTCCACAGATGGAGATCAGATGTTTCTCATTGCTTTGTGCTGTGGTAAATGGTGTTTTGAAGGCTGGGCTGTGCTGAGCTCAAGCAGGGCATGCCT